TGAAGTTGCCCGGATGGAGCTTCAGATGTCAAGTACAATGTGCGTTAAGCCTATTCCTGTTTTGCGCCGCAGCTTTTCGGCTTACAAGCTAATGCTGCAGTTGCCGTGGCAGCTGCTGAGTCTTCAGCAATGCAGCAGCTTCTAATGCGCGTTCAGCAGCAACAGGCTGCGACGCCTAGCTCGGGGCATACTGCTTCGGCAGGAGGAAACAACAGCGAGTTTACGGAGCGAGCGGCGTCGCTGATGGGCCAGCTGCCTCCACTTTTCGACGTAGAAGAGGTGATCTCTTCGAGAGTGAATCCTTACGAGGATGCAATGGATGCGGCGCTTCTCCAAGAACTGGCGCGTTACAATGCGCTTATCACCGTTATGCGGAAGAGCCTCCAAATTGTCCAGGTTAATTCTGCTACGAAGGCCCTTGTGATGCATTTAATGGTTGTCGTCTGCGGAGAGCCTGCATAAAGTGGCGTTGCCGCTGAGTCAAAGTGAAGGTTTACGAACAACGAATGTTCTCGGCACACTTGTCGGCCTCTTTTTCTCTTAGGATGCAGCTGACGGAGTAATAGAATGCACGCCGGAAGTTGAAGAGATGTACCAATGCCTGAGGCAAAACCGGGTGCCACAGGCAGTAGCAGCAGCGAGCTACCCTATGTCATTTGGACTGGCTGCTTGGATGGCCAATCTAAGGCGCCGTGTGGATTTCATGGCTTTGTGGCTGCGGGGAAAACCTCCACATCCGTTCTGGCTGCCTGGCTGTTTCAGCCCTCGCAGCGTCTGCAAAGCGATGCTACAACAGTACGCGAGGCGCCAAAGCCTGAAAATTGATTCGGTAGGCTTTACGTTCTACGTTCTTGAAAATGAAGAAGGAACTGCTTCCGCGGACGCGTCTGCGAGCGACCAGGAAAATGGAAGCGGATCAACGCGAGGTTTTGCACATGACGTATCAGGTCTTTTCTTGCATGGGGCCAGCTGGTCTGCAGAAGAAAAGGTAAGAATTTTCCTTGAGAATCAAGCTTACCATGAACGGTCGGTACTCCAAATATTTAAAAAGCATCTTTTATCTGTCACTTTGGAGCCCCAAGTGGAGCATTTCCATGGTGACGTCATTCGAGCTAATGTGCCTGTAATGGACTTTTCGCTTGGTACTTATTGATTAGACACCAGCATGGTAACAGTAACAGCGGAGGAGGGAAAAGCAGAAGGCCGCATGGGCAGGGTTGTAAATGGGAATTGGCTTCTTCTTTTTATTTCTTGATGTAATTCCCAACTATATATATATATATATATATATATATATATATATACATATATATATATATATATATATATATATATAT